TTTTTGGGGGGGGGGGGGGTGTTGAGCAAGTCTGGATCTCTGGTGGAAACTGCCCGCCCCCCAGATGTAACCTTGACATTTCCTCTGGGAGGTGGGGGTTCAAAGCCCTCTGGTGAGGTCAGCAACTGTCTTCCAGGGTTACCAGCTTTGCTCCTGCACAAAGCATTTTATATTTTCCACTTCTCATGTTTTCACCTACATTAGACATTTTAATGACTGGTATAACTTTTATTTTGTTATTAGCTCTAGCCACTGGTATTTCACACTTTCAGTTGATCTGAGCTGCTTATCAAGTGAAAAGTCAGTTACTTCTGGGGTTGGCTCCTGAGCTCCAGTGATCACCTGGAACCTGGAAGGACTGCTGGACTCTGATAAATGGAGCTCCTGGTCCTAACATCATTCAGAACCACATGTTGATCAGCCACTCAGATCTAGTGAGTTCTCAGGGAAATATGGCCTCCATTTTATATTTTACATCTGCTCTAATTATTGTAATCCATTCTGCCAACCAAATGCCCCCAGAGTGTGCCTCCCTGCAAGTGATTGGAAACATACATGCTCATGAGTATTGTGTAGTTTGTACAACCATACTCATGTGAACTAAGTGGGGTCACGTTCTTGTGCAAAGCTGGAATGTTCTCAAGTGTCCAGAAGGAGTGCATTGACTTCCAGAGGCTCTGTACCTGCCAGGCCTGGCTGTAAACCTTTGTCTGGGAATGGGAAAACATAAGGAGCTGGGTAAGCTCCCTGTGACCTGGGGGATCTGGCAGGTACCCATTGTCTAAGAACTGAGCAGAGAACTCAAGCTTTGAGAGGAATTTTGTTGGTGGCCTCTGAGGCGCTGCCAACCCTCATAGTCTTGGATGCCTCTAGGCCCCATGGTACTAAATCAGTAGGGATGCTTTTGGCTGCAAGTAACAAAATACAAATAACAGTAGGTTAAGCAGAGCTCAGATCTTCCAGAGATGCTCTCAGCTTTTTTGAGGTCTGTGAACACAGGAATGGGATATTAATGCCAATTCCAGCAAGTTCTTTTTTCTTTCTTTTTTTGGTGGCTGGCTGGTACAGGGGAGCAAGTTCTTACACAGGAAAGATAGCCAAGAAGGCTGAGGGTCTGCAGTTCAGAGTAATGGTTTTTACCTTCTTGGGTCACAGCGTCTTTAACATGCTAGTGAGAAGACAGAAAAATTGTTTGATGTACAAAGCTGGGCAAAACATTCAGGGGACTCACAGATCTCTGAAAACAAGCCCTGGATCCCAGGTTAACCCCTCTGTTCTAAAGTCATGTACTTCACTAATGTTTATTGAGGACCTACTTTGCAGCCCTGTCATCCCCACCAAGCCAGCATGCACTCCAGGGCAGCCTGAGAGGGCAGAGTGGGTGTCAAGAGTGCGGACAGAGTGGGCCAGTTACCACTTTTCAGCCTGCCAGTTGAAGTCTGTGCAGCCAGCCAGCGAACCTGTTCTGGGGACTCTGACAATGAGGGTTTCAGATAGCAGAGCCAACACTATTGAGGCTGAGGTGAATACCATGTCACACTCCTTGGCAGCCTTCTCTTGTGTGCTAGGTAGTACCCCTGCTCTGTGTGATGAGATTGGTCCTGCCTATTCCCAAAGACTTCACCCTGGCCTTCTGTGGCCTGCCCCTCCCTCCACCCACGGCCCTAGGGCCTTTTAGCTGGTCAGTGTGAAGGCAGCTTCCCGCAGGCATCCCTCTTGTAGGAGTCATGAAGCAGCAATGTGTATTCAGCTTCTTGATGTCCCTATCATTGTCCTTTATCATTCTTGGTAGCTTCACTGGGGGGGAGGGGGGAGGGGGGCTGCTGATAGTCAGATGACAATGCAGGTCATCACCAGTTGCTGAGATGATATTTTTAGGTCTCAAAGGGGCATACTCTGTCTAGACAGCCTGGTATCAGGCTACCTCAATGGATAAAACATAATTTCCATATGGGTTGTATTGCTAGTGAGGTTTTGGAGAGCACCAAGAATGGGTCTGGCTATAAAGTTTGTAGTGGCAGAACGAAGGAAGGTGGGAGCTCTGAGTTCTTGTTCTGGCCATATGTGACTATCCATAGGGCCCTGGGTGGACCCTGTGCTGCATGCGCCCGGGCTCCATCTGTGACTTCTCTGCCCAGCCATCAGGGTTGTCATGGGGATT